AAATTACTAAAAAATTTTAGTAATTTATTATATAAAAAATAAATAATATTTATTAATAATTTTTTCAAAGATAACAAACTAATTTTTTTATTATAATTAATATCTATAATTATTCAGAAAGTTATAATTATTATAAATAAAGAAAATATAATTAAAGCAAGCTTTTAATAATTATTAATTTATTATTAAACTCTTTTAATAATTTTAATTATTCAAAATATTATGAATTATAATAAAAATCTAGTAATTTATAAAATATTTTGTAAAATATTAAAGATTTAAGAAATGATCAAAATGAATTAAAAAATAAAAAAGTAAAGAAAAAATAAAAAAAAATAAAAAAAAGAAAAAAAAGAGAAAAAAGAGAAAAAAAGAAGTAAAAAAGAAAAAAAAAAAAAAAAAAAAAAAAAATAAAAAGAGAAGTGAAAAGAGAAAAAAAAAGAAATATTACTTTTTTTTATTATTTTTATATAAAAATATTAATTTTAGATTAATTAAACTCTAAATTAATATATTCTAATTATCTAATTAATATAATATAATTATTATATATCTATATAAAAGAAAATTCTATATATAATAAAATATCAAACTATAATATAAAGAAAAAATTTCAATTTTTATTATATTTATTAATAAAATTAATTTTTTAATTTTATAATTATAGGAGTTATTATAAATATAATTATTTATTAAGATTATAATTAATTATAATTTAGTAATACTTATTTAAAAATATTATAATAGTTAAGAAATTATCTTTAATAATAATAATTAATAATTAAATAAAATAATAAAATAATAAGTAAAAATTTTAATTATAATATATTTTTTTACTTAATTTGAGTTTTATTAAATAAATATTAAGTTAAAATTAAATAAAAAGAAAAAAAGAAAGAAAAATAAAATAAAAAAAATAAATAATAAAAAAAATATAAAAATAAAAGAAATTTTATTTTCTTAACTAATTAATTAATTTTTATTATTTCAATCTGATTTTAAACTATAAATAAACTCATAGATATACTTATTAAATATTAATAATAATATAATTATTATTATAAAAAATAATAATATTTAAATAAAAAAAATAATATAAAGAAAAAAATTATAAAAATAAAATAAAGTAATAAAAAATATTATTATAAAAATAAGACTTGATAATAGATAATAACTAGACTTTTCTTAAATATAATTATATTAATTCTATTTATTAATAAGTTTTATTCTTATCAAATAATTATACTAAGTGATTAATACAAATATAAAATATCTTTATTCAATATAATTAGTAAATTAATAATTATAGTAATTAATTTACATTAGCTTTCAAATTTTTCTGATCTTAAATAATTTTAGCAATAATAATATAGTAAAGATATCTTTATAATTAGTAGTTTGAGTTATTATTAATATTAGATTATCAAGCATAAAGAAAATGAAAGTATTAAATAATAAAGAAAATCTAGAAAATGTAAAAGACTTAAAGAATATAATGATATATAGAATTTTTGCAGTCAATCTAGTAAGATCATTTCACATATGTACTTAGTTTGGGTTTATATATCATATTTGGAAGAATTCTATATTACTTCTCTTATTCAACCACCACTGAATTCTTCTATATATAATACTTTATTCCAAGAAGTCTATACCGAGCACGACATAGTAAATGCTTCTTTAAATTACCGAAACCAATATTAATTTAACGATCGAAATTATCTAAGCATCTGACTTTAACAAAGTTTTATTTGTTTTACAATTGATGATTATCTTTTGCAAGCTAATAAACTAATAAATTAAAAACAAGTGTTTATCAAGAAAATAATGTATCTTCAATAAACCTTCCGATTAATCTTCCTATTTCCGGTACAACACCGTAAATAATGCTCACAAAGATAGTGTACCATGGAAACCAAACCGCCTTTTCACCCCTCAATCCACTCCGTAAAATAACCTCGGCAGTTTCACCCGGATCTTTAGCTATAAACGATGAACTTCCAAACCAAAATTTTGGAAACTTAGCAATATTACTTTGCCATTGTTCGGTATTTACGGCGCCCAAATGAACGATAGTGACACGGATCGGAAGTTTAGCATGTGAGAGTTGATCTCGCAAACAGTTGAAATAAGAATTTATCGCAGATTTTGTGGCGCTGTATGCCCATGACATTCCTAATGAGATTTCTGCGAGCAGAGTTGTAACTACAATTATTGTGGAAGAGTTTGAGGATGTTGACATGTGTGGAATCGCATGATGTGCTAATGCAGCGAAACCGATAAAATTTACGTTTGTAAGATTTCTTGTTTTTTCTAGCGCTCCTGTGGGATCGGAAAAATTTATACGCTCAAAAACTGAGTGTGTATGATTCAAAATTAAAAGATCAATTCTACTATCATCATTACTATCCTTAAAGAAATCAAGAGACTCTCTAACTAATCGAACACATTCTTCCTCGATACCAAGGTCACAAGTGACCACTTTGATCCTGGACTGTTTATTGGAGAGATGTGAACATTTATCGCGAACTTTTTCTAAAAGAGATGTTCTACGTGCTGCAATTATGATTTTTGATGCTTTGTTCAATGCACAGTGGTACGCTACTTCCGCCCTTGTATAATTAATAATTTATTACATTTAACGTTTTTTGAAAATAAAACTTGTAAGTTTTATCTCGATCAGAATAACCGCACTCACCCAATACCCCAACTAGCTCCGGTAATAATCACATTCTTTCCCTCGAGTTTTTCAAGAGAAAATTCCGTTTTTTTATAAATAAAGCGGTAGAATAACGTTACTAACAAAATCACGATGGGTATAATTAAATCTATTGCATCCATTCTTATTTGTATTTTGATATCTCGAGAAAAAGATTCTGTTTATCATTTGGAAGATCCTAGTAATGATATTTTAATTAATCGCTAACTTGAGTCATTGTTGATTAAAAAAAAAAAAGGGAATCCAAATGATAAAAGCATCAAAACCAATTTCAAATATAGAATTTTCGCAAATCCTTCAGAAAATTAAATTTACTGGAGTGGATAAAAATCCGAGACGTATCGGTTCGTAATTGGAATAAATAAAATGCACAATTACTAAATGAATACGCGATCAAAAAAATTAACTTGTTAATATTGTCCTTTTATTTTACAAAATAGGCGTTGCTGTATCAGGTGGTCTAGATAGCATCGCTCTATGTTATTTGTTACGAGATTGGACCATAACTAATGGATACAAGCTGAAGGCGTTTACTGTCGATCATCAATTACGCGATGAGAGTGGTAATGAAGCAAAGAAGGTTGGAGAATTGATGCGGAAATTAGGTAAATTTTAAATAGTTATAAATTTTTAAATTTTTGCATATTAAATAAGATATCTCATATCTCAAAAAAGGAATCGATCATGAAATCATGAAAATAAACTGGTCAAGACCTTTATCAAATTCAGCAAGCGTGACTACTAAAGAATCAGAAAAAGAAATTCCTAAGCATGATGTTCATCCTCCAACAACAAGCCAACTAGAAACGAATGCGCGAATTGAACGGTACAATCTCTTAGCTCACGCATGCAAGCAAAATTCGATTCAACACTTATTTATTGGACATCATCTAAATGATCAACTAGAGACCTTAATAATGCGTTTTGCAAGAGGAAGCGGAATTGAAGGATTATCGGCGATGAATAATGAAATAAAATTTCCTGTTGTGAAAAGTGCTGATGCGATTGGGGTTAAATTGGTGAGACCTTTATTGGATTGTACAAAGGTAAAAATTAATTACATCAATCTCATCGTGCAATTTTCCTTTGGTTTAAAATTTCTTAATCGATTACGAAGGATCGCCTAAGGCAAACATGTATATCCTATGACATCCCATGGTTTGAAGACTCAACTAATACATCCCTAACTTATAAACGCAATGCGGTACGTGATGCATTAAATAAAATCGGGCAGAGATTTCACGAAGGTGACGAGAGATTAGGACCATTATCAACAGAAGGATTGAAACAGTTTTTGGAACATATGCAAGATCACAGAAAAGTATTAAATGAAAAAGGTAGGAGAGATCAAGGCAGGATTATAATGTATTAATAAAAGTCAATGCCTATGATACATATCTATTTGAATAGTTAGTCAAATAGTGAGGTCAAGCGCAAGATTCAGTCTAAGATATGGCATTTGTACAATTGATATTCCGCCTGACGCGTCAACATCCTCCTCCGGCTGGTTTAATAAACATCCCATATCATTCCGTGTTTTAAGCTATTTAGTTCGATGGATTCGTTGCGCCGAATATTCACCACGATTAGCTCAAATTCGCACATTACACGCATATATCCTTCAACAACAGACCCTACCAGCAGAGCAACGTAGAAACCTAACAATTGGTGGCGTGCTCGTTTCTCCCCCGAACAAGAATTCGGGAAGCTTACAATATCGGTGGACAATACTACGACAACCATTCAACAAAACAAATGCATTTGAAAAAGTTGACATGCGTGAAATCAATATCGAAAATAAAGAACGAGAAGGAATCTTACTATGGGATAATAGATTTTTCGTGGGTCTACGATTAAATGATCGTTTTCTTCAAGAGAAAGAATATATTAAAAATAATAAGATTGGGTTTTATGTTCATCGATTTACGAAAAAAGATTATGACATGATCAAAAAGATGCCTGGAAAATATTCGAGGGCATTGAATGAATTCGTTTATCATGTTCCCGCAATTGGAAGGGAAACTTTTCCATTGGTCATTATGAAGAATCAGAAAACTGATCAAGAAAAAGTATTTAGTGTTCCCACGTTGGGCATTCACTTTTACCCTCAAATTGGATTCTGTTGGGCTAAATTTCGTAACAGTGTGATTAACCTTAATACTACTGATTGTGATCAAGATATAATAGGTGGTGGTGGTTATGGATACGTTGATGAAGAATAATAAAAATGTTTAATGATATATAATTTGATTCATTTCTTTGCGAGTTTAATCCAATAGTATAAAATACTAAGATAAAAAAGTTGAATAATAGCTATCGAAGTGAAAAAAAAAATAATAAAGACTTTATAAGAGAAATAAATATGTAACCACTCGGTTCTAATTATCGCCAAGATTGTGTGTTTCTTCTCATCTATCATATACACGTGATTTAGAGAAAAGTTTAGTTACTAATGCTGAAGTTGATGTTGTTGAATTTTGGATGGATCAACAATCATTTGAGCAAGGCTACGTGTAATATCCAACATGTCATTTCCACCAAGCCAAAGTGTGTCCAAAACCCAGCCGGCAGCTAAGCCAACAACTCTGATCAATCCTACAATACAGACAACTGCAAACACCACACCAAACACCAATCCAGCGAAAAGTCCAACCCCCGCACCAGCCAATGATAAAAGAAATGGTGCACCAATACCGCCAAAAGTAGCAAGCATACCAAACACCACCGGTCCAATAAACAAGGCAATAAATGCAGCAAAAATTAACACGATTAAATAAGCATAATGCCAAACTGGGTGGTCATCTCGTAATTCCCGTGGATTTAAGATATAGTGTACCACTGACTTTCCTTGTTCCACTAAGTAGTCTTCACCAGCAGCGGCCACTTGAAGATTTTGTTTAACGCGTCTTTGGTGTAGTTCTAGACTATTAGAACTCGATGACTTTTTTGAAATTTCAACGGAAAGTTTTTGTTGCTGCTGTTGTTGATAAGATAAATTGTCGCCTAATGGGAGTTTTGTGGCATTACCCAGGTTGAGTGGTTCTGAAACCATTGTTCCGCTCATTTTGAATATTATTCGTTTATGTGATACAGTTAGGATTTATGAGTTGTTGGTCCTCTCTTTAAATAACTGGAATTCTTTTCCACTATTCCTTTTATTATAATGTAACTTGGAAATTCTGCAGGTGCAAGTTTTTGTAATAAATATGCAAAAAAAAAACTGATCACAAACACAAGAGAAAAAAATCAGATATCAAAAACATTAGCATATAGAAAATAGAATGAACGATGGATATATCTTAGATATTATAATAATGTTCACATGAACTGTGCAAATCCCGCGTGTTAAAAAGTGTTGATCTGGTTCATTAACATGTGAACATGTGAAAAGATTTTTTGAACATAATGTCGCTAGGTTTCATCCCCGTTGTCTCACACTGCGTTGGCGGGAAAAGTCCAGGCAACAGACGCACGTCTGAGATTTCAGGTATTCAGAAATAGAATTTAAAAGTTCACGTGATATATTAAGTACAATATCTACCTTACATTTGATTGATTAGGCAAGTAACGGTTATTATCGTTATAAATTGACCAATTAGACTGAAGTTTACTATCAAATTAGCATTTATTAAAGTGGTAATTATGCGCGCTTTACATTGTTATATAGGATCCAATACAGATAACTCGTATCGGATCCTGCTGGTTACAAGTTGTGTAAAATGAATTATTCCTTCTATGATGAACTGAATCATGAGACTTGTTCTTAAATAGTATTATTTTATTTAGATGAAATCATAATCATTATTATTATTATTATTATTATTATTATTATTATTATTATTATTATTATTATTATAATTATTATTATTATTCATTATAATACTTTCTAAACTTACTAATATTATTAATTAATTGATATATAAGTTATAATAAATATTTCATATTTTTTATTGAGTTATAAAAACTATTTGAAGTAAATATATATATTATTCTTGTTTGTGAAGCTTATTAATATAAAAAAACTATAATATAAAGATACTTACATATAATTTTATTTTGAAGAAGTCAAGATATTAATAATAAATATCTGTTAACTATCTATATATATATAAGTAATATAAATAAGTTCTAATATAATTTTTGAATATAAAATTTTTTGATTTTTTTTTCTAGTTCATAATTGATCATTTTCTTTATTTAAAATAATTTTTTTATAGATTTATTATAATTTGAACCTAAAATAAAGTAAGTTATCTAAGAAAATTTTTGTATAAGAATTTTATAAATTAATAGATCTATTATATTGAATTTATTATATCATTTTTTTAAGATTAATAATAAGATTTTATAGTACAAAAATATTAAATATTATTTTAAATATGAGAATAATATAAAATATATCAGTTTTGAGAAGATAACTCTTTCTTTAAATTATTTTAATTAATTATTCTTTAATATTTATTAATTCTTTTAAGATAGTTATTTATAATAAATAGTTTTTTGAAAGAAATTTTTATAATTTTCTTGCATTTATTAAGATATTAACTATATAAAAAATTATTAATTTATTATTTTATCAGATAGATAAGAAACTTTATTTTATTATTCAAAATATTATATATACTTTCTAAAAAATTTATCTTGCTAATAAGATTTTTAATAATTCTCTTTTTTCTATAATAAACTTATATATAATATCTTTATCACTATCTATTAATTAAGCTTTTTTTAATATATTTTATAAATATAATTTCAAAATATTTTATTATAAAACTATATTATTATTATTATCTTAATTTAATTATTTATTAATTTTATTTTTCTAATATTAGTTAATGTAAAAATTAGAATAATTTTTGGTTATATTTTTAATAATAATTCTTATTTTTTAATATTAATATTAGTTATTACAATAAGTAGAATAAATATAATTAAATTAATATTTAAATTTATTATAAGTTAATTTTAATTATAAATAATGTTAATTTTATTATAAAAGATAAAAAAAATTATTTTAAAATCTTATTATCATATTCAGATAATATTAATTAATTATATGAAGATAGTATAAAAAAAATAAAGATAATTAGAATATCTTTATTATTTTTATTAATAACTATAATAATAAATAAAAAAAGTTTATATTTATTAATTCTATAAATTTTATTAACAAGAATAAGATTCTGATATTTATATTTTTATTTATATTTATATTATTTTAAAATATAAATAATAATCTCTAGATGATTGATATCTTTGATATTATAACCAATTAGCTTATTTATGTGATGCAGTAGACATAATGTAGTAAATGATGCAGCTGCAGTATGTGATGCAGGAATCACCAATTACTACTAAATCAGGCAAATAAGTAATTTATATTAATTAATTTAATTTATTATTAATTCTATTTTTAATTCATAT